AGACAAAAGTCAGTTTTCTCTTTCCAGGCTCCTTTCAGGGCACCCAGAGAGGCAGAAGAGGGAATGGTGAAATAGGACAAAGAAAGGAATGTCTATGGAAGATATGGGAGAAACTAGAACGAAAATAAAGTACTCACATTGTAGGCCCCAGTTATGCAAAAGTGGGAAATAAGTTAATGTAACTAACATTGAGGAGACAGAACACTATGAAAAACCATTGTTATACTTCAGTGTGTAGGCCTGAGTGACCTAGAGTGTCACATTGTATAATGTCAAAAAATAAGAAAATGGACCGAGTTACTGACATGCCCGATGCAGAGGGAAAGAAGTGGACAAAGCCCATATTAAGGCAGAATATATACATTATCAAGTGTATATATTTGCATTTTGAGATAATTTTTTCAGACTGTTGAAAATATTTGATTGACTGGGGTTGCTTTTCCAAAACACCAGCTGAGAACAACTTTGCTGCCTTGACACTGGGTGTCACAACCCCAGCAGCAGGATTGGGGACCAGTTTTTTGGTGCCCCCAAAACATAAAACACAGAGGTAAGTGGTGAAACTGAAATGTGCCTGAAGGCCTGAATCTCCTTATTGGTAAGAGCCACTGTTCGTTTCTCTCTTCTTTTTCACTCCAATTTAAATTTGTTACAGAGAGGATCTTGGCACTTCCTGGGATTCTGTTTATCCCTGTTGAAGCATACAAAGGAACAAGAATAGCAACTCTAATCTCTCTCCCTGCTTTGACATGCAGGGATCAAGAACTCTTCTCCTTGTTGATTGGCAAGGCAGCATTAGACGTATAAATTTAATCCCGCTATAGAATTCACATACTTTTTCTACTGTTCTGTGCAGGGAACTCTGGATAACCCCAAATAAGGATGACTATACTACATCCTTTAGCCTGTTAGGAAAGTCTTTGACAGCTTTGGTGCCCACATGCAAGGGGAAGCCACAAGATCCAAGCGTCTCCACTCGTCCTGGCCAAGCATCCAAACCTAAGATGCTTTAAGTTCAGAACTGTTGAGATCATATACTGCAAGAAATAAATTATGTGTGTGGTTATGAAGACAATCAGAGATAAGATCCACTCTTTGCCAATGATTATTCACACAAACTGTTAATGGTGTCCCCCCCAATCTGTGAGTGGAAACATAAACATGACCCTCTTGGGGAGGATTCATAAATATTACCCAGGGGTGCCTGGGTGGCTCAGTCAGTTAAGCATCCAACTCTTGATCTGAGCTCAGGTCTTACTCTCAGGATCGTGGGTTCAAACTCCATGTTGGCCTCTGCACTGGGCATAGGACCCTATACGTTCTTGGAACCCTATATGTTCCTGAATAAATTTAGGATTTTCCAAAGAAGCCAGAAGATTCTGTCGGCAAATATAGCTTGCTTGGCAGACGTCATGACTTACATGTTGAAGCACAGACACACCACTTGCTCAAACACAAGTGAGCAGGAAGGAGAAACACGCAAGGAGAAATAAAATATAAGTGAATACAACAAAATAATGGCAAATTATATTTGTGTGTGTGTGTACTTTCCCATCATCTCAAGGTATTAAAATCTATTATCCCCAGTGTTCAACAGGCATTGGAGGGTGTATCTATCTGTGTGACTGGATAGCTGAACAGATGAGATGTGCTGTGTTGTTTCAAAGTCTTTCTCCCTGCTTTCTCTCTTTCCTTCTACCCTTCTTCCACGTTGCCCATCCTTTACTCTTGATATGTGCATATAAGAGAATGCACCAATGATACCAAAAATTAAAAATACTTGGCTTAAATTTATAACCAGAAATAGTCAGAACTTAGTTTACTCTCCATAATGTACTAGATCTGTGATTATAGAAAAGCCTTATTTATGTTTTCTGGGCCTTCTGACAGTTAAACGAGATGTGGCATGTTGTTTTATTGTTATATTGGATGCCTTCCATGAAAAGTATAGAAAAAAGTGGACACATTGCAATGGAAAAAGGCTGTATCCTCTCACATCCACCCTACTCTCTACTTATGGGCTCCCGGTATGCCAGTCCCTCCGAATCTGTGGCTACGCTGCGTTGTGGTTTGTTGCCCAACCTTATCGTTTGTTCCTAGGCTTGACATCCTACCTGACTTGAAAGTTCTTGTCCTTGGTCCTCCAAAGGCTAAGGGAAAGCACAGCGGCAGAGTTCCACTTAACAGTTAGTGATGTCTCATCTTGTATGAAAACATGTAGATGTTTATGAGTTACTTATAATGTTCTAGTGTAGTTCACCATGTGTATACAGCATTCATTTGTGGCAGATCATCATAACTGGTCATTTTTTAGAAGATGAAAGAATAAAGCTCTTTCTTCTAAGCATGCTTTATGTGTTTTCTGTCATTGCTTAGCAGAGTGTTCTATAAATATGTATCAATAAGGGTAAATTGGTAGATAGTGTGCAAGTCTACTATATTCTTCCTGATTTCTGACTACAGATTCTGTTATTTATTGGGTAAATTTACATATTTACATAGAGCAAAGGTCTCCAAATGTAATTGGAGATTTGTCTATTTTTTCTTTCAGTTAGAAGAGTTTTAGCTTCCAGCATTCTGAAGCTTTTTTGTTAGGTGCATATATGCTAACATTGTTATGTTTTCTTAGCAAATTGATCTTTTATAAGTATGTATCATACCTTTTTATTTCTGTATTATTTCTTTTTCTCAAGTTTAAATTGTCTGACATTAATGTAGCCTTTCCATATTAGTGTTTGCCTGGATGTCTTCTCTCATACTTCTATTTCTAATCTAACTATGTAATTACATTTAACATAAGTTTCATGGAGACAGTACATATGTGGGTTAAGAAATCCATACTGAAAATGTCTGTCTTTAAATTTCCTTAAATTTGTGTAGTTTGACTACTTGTATTTAATGTAATTATTGATGTGGTTAGATTTAGGTCCATTATTTTATTGTTCATTTTCTGTTTACATACTCTGATTTTGTTCTTCAGTATTCTATTATCTATTTGCTATTCAACTCTTTCCTTTTGTGTATCTTTTTAGTGGCTTTTGAAGGATTGTAGAATGTCTACTACTTCACCCTTCACAGTCTAGTTAGAGTTATTTCGGTGCTTGGAGCAAAATATAGAAATGTTACAATTGTATAGGTTATTTTACCCCTTCCTTCATTTTATAGCTGTTAAATGTCTTCCATTTTCAGACTTTGAAAACCTCATCAATGTTACAATGGTTTGATTTTAGCAGCCATGCATATTTTAAATAATAAGAGAAAATTTGTTTCTTACATATGACCACATTTTTACTATTGCCATTGTTTTTACTTCATTCTTAAAGTTCCAGATTTTCCTCTGGTATCATTTCCTTTCAGCCTGAAGAACTTCTTTCAAGAATTTTTTTAAAGTAGTCCACTAAACAGTGAATTCTGTTTTCCTTCATTGGAAAAAGTTTTTATTTTACCGTAATCTCTGTGGGAAATTTTCACTGGATAGTTTTCAAGGTTGAAAACTATTTTTTTCCCCTTCAGCATTTTAAAAAGGCAATGGGAGAAGATAATTTAGAGTTTATAGGCCATTGTAAGGACTTTGAGAAAAATGGGAAACTATTGAAAGGGTTTGTGTGACACGATCTGACCATGTTGTTGTTTTTTAAAAAAATTTTAATGTTTATTTATTTTTGAGAGAGAGAAACAGAGTATAAATAGGGGAGGGGCAGAAAGAGAAGGAGACACAGAATCCGAAGCCTGCCAGATGCAGGGCTCAAATTCATGGACCATGAGATCATGGCCTGAGCTGAAGGTGGATGTTTAACCAACTGAGCCACCCAGGTGCCCCTGACCTATGTTTTAAAGAATCACATTGGCTGCTTGTATGTACTGAATGTGTGCCCCCCAGAATTCATGTGTTAAAACTCCACCCCCTAATGTGATGATAGTAGGAGGTGGAGCTTTGAGGAAGTACTTAGGATTAGGTGAAGTCATGAGAGTGGAGCCCTCATGAATGGGATTAGTGATCTTATAGGAGTCCTGACAGAGCCTGCTCTTCTCTGTTCTCTGCCACATGAAGAGGCCCTGAGAAGATGGCAGTCTGAATCTGGGAAAGAATACTCACTGGAACCCAACCATGCCAGTGCCCTGATCTCAGACTTCCAGCCTTGAAGACTGTGAGAAATAAATTTCTGTTGTTTATAAGCCACCTGGTCAATGGTAACTTGATATAGCAGCCCAAACTGAGGAAGACACTGTTAAATTAACAAGGATCTGCAGGGGTGCCTGGGTGGCTCAGTTGTTTAAATATCTGATTCTTGATTTTGGCTCAGGTCATGCTCTCAAGATACATGAGTTCGAGCCCCACATCACACTCTGCATAGACAGTGAGGAACCTGCTTGGGATTCTCTGTCTTCCTCTCTCTCTACCTTTCCCTTGCTCGCTCTCTAGCTCTCTCTCTCAAAATAAATAAATAAACCTTTTTTTTTTTTTAAAGCTGATTGGCTGACCCAGCTCTTAAAAAAAAAAAAAAAAAAAGAAGGAACTGTAGGGGGACTAGGAGGGGGGACCCTTAGAAGGTTCTCAGAGTAATTCATCTGAGAGATCAGGGTGGCTTGACCAGGGAAGTCTAGTGGAGATGGTAGCAGTGGTCAAATTATGGATCAGTTTTAAAGATAGGGCAACCTGGATTTTTTGGTGGATTGGCTGTAAGCAGTGAAAGAAAAAATAAAAATCAAAAAAAACTCTGAGTTATGGCCAGAGACCGAAAGAATGGAGGTGTTAGGAAGTGAAAAGGAAAAGATAGTGGGGGGAGCATGTTGGAGGTGAGTTCAGAAGGTGAAAGATTAAAAGTTCAGTGCTGGTCATGTTAAATTGGAAACCTGACCTTCTAGAAAGCAATATCCCCAAGTGGAAGGAGAATATCCATACAAGTCTCTCTGTTCTAGGACTTGTCTACATGACCCAGTAGTAAAGGAAGATACACGTTGAAGTTCCTATTTATCCTCAGCAGCCAGGAGCTGAGCACCGCCTCCCCTCATCCCCAGGGGTCTCTTCCTCCATCTTGTTCACTTCCATCAAATGAGAGACCTTGCTAAAAACAAGTCAGACTGTGTCCTCGAGTTCCTGAAAACTGCAGTGTCACAGGAAGTTTGTGTTCAGTTCTGTCTGCGGTCCCAGACACCGTGTTACTCACAGCACAGAAGTACTTGGCTGTGTCGCTGCCAAGAGCTGCAGATTTCCTCAGGAGGAAGAAGTTTTCATGCCTCTTAAATTCAGCCTCAAAACCGTTAATGCCTTTAACCAGGGTGTTCCCTGAGGTGTACTTCAGGAGAAGCTGGAGTCCTTGGTTGGGATACTGCACGTACCAGAAGACATAAGTAGTTGCAGCAGAGGAATAGTTGCACCTCAGCTCCAGACGGGCTCCTTCAGAGACCAACACATGGGCATCAGGCTGGGTCACTGACTGGGCTCCTGTTCCTCCTGAAACATCAATGCAGAGTCAGTGAGACCAAGACAGACCTATTTAAAATGAGACAGGGTCTCCATGCAGCTTCCAGTCAGAACAACGTTGCTGATATGGAGGCAGGAGCGTAAAATGCAGTGTTACTTACTCACTGTGAGGAGCATTCCAAGCAGCAGGATGGTCATTGAATAGCACATAGCTAGGCAGTGAGGAAGCTGACAGCTAAGTTCTGGAAGATGTCCTGTGAGGAGCAGGAAGAAGCCTGCCAGATGGGGCTGAGTCTTTGTAACAAGGAAAATTTGGGATTCCAGAAATCCCCGTTTGAAGGCTAAGTTCTAGGGATAATTAGTAAGAGATGCTTCCTCGACAATGACTGTTCTGGTGTTGAGCCTACTCAGAATGTGCGCCTCTGTGAGCTGCAAGGTAAAGAAGCTGATAGAATTGAGGTAGAATTTTTTCAGAAAGGTCTTTCCGGTTTTGCACAATATCGCCCTCTGGGGGTCGAATATAGAAACAAATTGCATCAAGGTTTTTGTGCCTCGTCTTTTTCCTCCTATTTAGGCTTGAATTTCTTAGCATAATCTGATGAGAGTGTTTTTAAGGGGCTGCTTATTAAGAGGATGTTTTAATCTTATGAAGTAATTACTATTATGTAACCATATAAAGTAAATAGTATTACCATCCTCATTTAATCAGTGAGAAAACTGAAATATGGAAGGAAGTTTGCAATTTCTCCAAGGTCACAGTGACAACTGCAATTTGTCCCATTAGAATGATTCAAGGACCCATGTTATTAACCGCTGATAATATACTACTACTGTCCTTTAGAGTAGATATTATCCTCACTTACTGATGGGAAATAAAATCTTTACGAATTTAAATACTTTGTCTGAGGACAACATAAGAATTGGAATCTAATTCTGCTATACTCCAAACCCAGCTCCTCACCCACTATATCATCTATGATAGAGTACTCCCTTTTAAGAGTAGATGTAATTTCACCATGACAAACTTTCAGAGCGAAACTCAGAAAAGAATAGAAACGAAGGGAAACCCCGAAGGAACCCAAACACCAAAGAGAGGGCAGTGGAAATTTTACCAAAGAAACCTCAAAGGGTAGCCCAGAGAAGTAAGTGGCAGATCAGAAATGACTGGTGTCCAGAATGAGAAGGGAAAAGGAGTTTTAAGAACAAAGGGACATCCAACAGAATTAGTGCTGAAAAAATATCTACTTGTAAGATGGTGACTGAAAAGTGTCCATTGATTTTTAACAGAACAAAGATCATGCTTTGAGTCTTTTCAGCAGAAGCTACACTGCAGTGAGCTGAGGCGTGGAGAAGAAACAAAGAAAAAGGAAATTTGAATCTAGAAATTGCTTTCCAGAGGTTGAACTCTGAAGGATAAGAAAGAGACATGGTGTGAACCAGTTGAGGATGTTGAGTTGAAGATGTTGAAGGATGAGGTAGGGATTCTAAAGATTAAGATATATTTACATACTTTTGGAAAGGGCCTAAAGGCAATGGATCAAAATCCTGAGGAGACAGATAACATTGCAATATGGACCACAGGTAGAAGGACCAAGTTTTGATAACAGGGGAAACATTTATTTCCAGCCTTTTTGGAATGAAGGTAGACAGGGTTGGTTTAGACTTCAGCAATTTTTTAGAGTGTGAAGGCAGAAAGTTGAAACATCTGTTTACTTCCGATGGAATCTTTTTGTTCCTTTTTTAAAGCTTATTTATTTATTTGAGAGTGAGCGTGAGTTGGGGAGGGATGCAGAGAGGGAGAGAGAGAATCCCATGCAGGCTCTGCATTGTCAGAGCAGAGCCTGATATGGGTCTCAAACTCATGAACGGTGAGATCATGACCTGAGCCAAAGTCAGATGCTGAACCGACTGAGCCACCCAGGGGCCCCTTTCTGTTCTTATAAATAAAAATTAAGTGCCTCTCTAAAGAGTGACTGGAGGAGGTTCTGGGTTAGGAAATCTGAGGAGTGTGAGAAGTTTTGAAATAGTCTCTGTAGGAAATTACAGTGGGAGATGATTATAGAGTAAAAGAATACTTTCCCAGCAACACTGGGGGCCTAGTTAGTATTGAAGATACAGCATGTTTCAATGACACCAGTTTACACACTTGTGTGATCATCTTGAAATCTGCTTGTCAAAGTATACATTATAAGATACTAATCTATAATTAGAAATTAATGAGTCCACTGATAAGACACAAAATTGGGGCAACAAGAACAATGAGGTTAATGACTAAGGGGTGATTGAAATAGGGCCATGGGATCGAGGTGTCATAGATAAGAAAACAAAAACCAGGAAGCCTCTAAGAAATAATATGGTGGTAAAGGAATTTGACCAGTCATATACAGTCAGAAAACAAGCACAGTAGAAGTGACTGAATCTAGGTATGTGCGGTTTTAGACACGACGTAAGATTTCACTCATGGAGCAGCATCTAACTAGAGAATTATCATGGGATATGTCTAGAGTGTGACCTTGGGAATTAATTAACTGATAAGTTCAGGCTTTCTCTCTGAATTGTCCATGTGGACCCTTAAGTCATGTGGTAATTTAGACTACACTGGAATCCTCCTGTGTTATAGTCTTCAATATATGAGGAAGAGTATCTGGTGTTTATAAAGATGCTAGTGGAAAAAGAAGTGGGGAGGGGCACCTGGGTGACTCAGTTGATTTAGGGTCTGACTTCGGCCCAGGTGGTGATCTCACTGTTCGTGAATTCGAGCCCTGCATGGGGCTCTCTGCCATCAGCACGGATCCTCTGTCCCCCCTCTCTGCTAATTCCCACTCACGCTCTCTCTCAAAATAAATAAATAAGCTTAAACAAAAAAAGAAGTAGAGAAAGTAGGGCAAAATACAATGGCCTGGGTTCTGGGGGTGGTGGTGAAGAGATCTCTGTTATCTCTAAATCTGAGATGTTTTAGATGAGAGTGAATAAGGAGTAACCACAAGAGAAAGGGTCACACTTGGTGAAGTCATGTGAAAAGACTTTTTTGTTTGTTTGGTTTTTTACAGGGGTCACTGAATGTCTGTTTGCGTCAGAAGGGGGATTTAGAGGCCACTGTGGAAAGATTTTCATGGGAAGGTAAGAAGCAGTTAGGTCAGTTTAGAAAATAAGACAGGGTCAAATTTCTTGAGGAATCATTCCTCTCTGGAAGGAGTCCATCACAGGGAGGACTGAACGTGCTTGTGAGGGATCCACGTACAGAGAAATGAGGACAGAATAAGATTAGCTGGTGCTCAAGTCTCAGCAGGTGTCAAAAATAGTAAAGTGGGCTATCTAGGTGAAAAAGCTCTCATACAATGCATTTCATCACACTCTAAATCTGCATCTGCTTCTGTTTATGGATAGAAGCACTAGAAGAGAGTATTTCTACCTCACATTCAAAACCCACATGGCAGAGGGCACAACTGAAGCACAATCCCCAAAGTTCACTATCACAACACTCATTGCTTATAAACAATTGCTCGGACCTCTGCAATATAAGCTGTAATGTGCTGGGAGCCTTTGAGATGTCTCTTCCAGTTGACTGTGAATCTTCTTTCTTTCCTGTCTATTCCTGTTGGTATTAAGCATCTGACTCCTCTACTTTCTTCTCAACATTATTTCTCTCTTATCTTTCCTTTCTTCCTTATTTAACACAAAGTCTAAAGACAATAATTCCAAAGCTCTCTCTCTTTTTTTAATGTTTTATTTATTTACTTATTTCTGAGAGAGAGACACAGTGTGAGCAGGGGAGGGACAGAGAGAGAGAGAGAGAGAGAGAATCCGAAGCAAGCTCCAGGCTCTGAGCTAGTTGTCAGCACAGCTTAACCGACTGAGCCACCCAGGTGCCCCTAGAGTGCTCTTATAGATGCTATCAAGCGACATATTCTTCTCTCTTTCATTTCAACAACCTGCCACATCCAAAGACGGGCTGAACTCCCTCATACACTGTCACAACAAACTGGAACCGTGTGCTAGATTCTAAGGTACTGGTAATTATGGCAAAGATGTGGCCTAACAAATCGTATTGACCACAGAGTAGGCCACAATGCCATGGGAGCTCTTTGAGGTTACCACAGGTATTGCTTATCTCCAACAGATAGTAAACTTACTTCTTCATCCTTACTAATAGAATCCTGATGCTCTTTTAGTTAGCAAGACTCCTAGATAGAAACATATAGCTTTGCCAGACTTTCGCAGATTGGGGTCAGCACATACTCTGTTCTGATCAAGAAGATTTAAGCATCCTGTGAGATTTATCAACCATTCTTATTCAACAGATTTTTCTACTTTTTCTAACTAACCTCTAGGCTCCTTGGTACTATATATCAAGAATCAAAAGTCCTGCATTTATAATTCAGATAGAGGAAAGAGCCATTGTTGCATTTCTCATCTCATGGGCTTTTAATAGAGGGCCAGAGGGGCACCTGGGTGGCTCAGTAGGTTGAGCCTCTGAATTCAGCTCAGGTCATGAACTCGTGGTTCGTGGATTCGAGCCCCGCGTCAGGCTCTGTGTTGGCAGCTCAGAGCTTGGAGCCTGCTTTGGGTTTTGTGTCT